CGGATAAGGAATTTTAAGAAATAACCAATTATCTTAAATATAGACCGTGAGACTAATAGCGGCCTCGTGTACATCAGTATCAGACGGCCTTAGCTAGTTAATATATAGACTTTTTTTTTTAATTAAGTAAGATCCAAAGATGAAAAAATGGAATCCAATGTCGAAAACGTTGTTAAAATACTTACACTTTGATCCCTGATAAGAAGACGTGCAATATTAACGGGCAAAGGGCATTCATTTATCAATTCCTATTCATACTAAAAGACAAATATATGAAAAAAGGAGAAATAATTGAACAGTGATATGAATTGTTTCTGTCTCTCGGCAATTTACAAGTGCGTTATATTAATTCAAAATATAATTGAAGCAATTTACAAGTGCGTTATATTAATTCAAAATATAATTGAAGTTTTTATCACAGAGAGAAAGACTGCTAAACGAGTAGCTTATTTATGTATCAAGCGGAATTTTTGCAGTTTTACTTTTTATAGGAACAAAATTGAATTCGTTACATAATGTTTTCTGTATATCAAACCCTAGAGATTGATAATTTTCTAATATTCGTTTCCAAAATGAAAAAATCACTACAGCGCAGAATGCTCAACAAATTCACGTTCTTAGCCGGATTATATATACATATTTATGAGGATCTTTAAATAAAAAAGCAATAATACAAATATAAAATTTGTTAGGCGTTAGTTATGTCCATAATTTAAGCTTTAAATTTGAAAATTAAATTCCCTAAATTTAAGACAAGACATAACGCTCGTGCAGTATTCTTAAGATTAATTCTTAGCCTAATACAATTGTTGCCAATTTCGAAGATAAACGCAAGAGCAAAGGACGAAAGCTGTTAGATGATGATAATTAAATTTTATGTGGGATAACCCATGAGTCAGGAAACTTTTGATTGACTAGTCAAGTTTCAACGAACGAGCAGGAAGAATCGAATAAAAAAGACGATAATTGTTCAAAACTGGGCAATAAACCGAAAGTATAGTCTGGAAATAAAATCCTACATTATTCAAAGCCTAGAAATATTTTCATTTTACTGTGTTTTGCTTAGTAAAACTAAAATTTTATTTGTAATCGACCCCCCATGACAGTTATTACTGTAAGTAATGAATTACTTACGATTTACTAACAACGTAAAAGGTAAAAAAATATAAATTGGAGAAAATCAAGAGAAAAAAATCGTAACTGGACAATAAACAACAGAAAACGGAATGTCTGGAAGTAAAATTCAGATTTGCCAATCAATTGTTTAAAGAAACAAAGAAGAGACTTTTCGCTGATATTTTTGTTCTGGATAAAATATAAATTACAAAAGGAATCAGCACATGGCAATCGATAACTTCTGATTGACAAATTTTCTCTTCGACGACCAGACCTGTCGCAACTGGTCAACTTACTTATCTTTCTGAAAAAGCGCTAAAATGCTGTGGAACTAAAATATTCTGCTCAGATCTGCCAACATATTTTACAAAGGCAAAATGTTTTCGATGCAGAAAAATTTATTCTACCTATAGAAATGTACAGAAACCGTTTCTTGATGTAGATGATACTCTCTAACGGATATCCCGTCCCAATTGGGGGCAAACATTAAAATTACACAATTATGTATAATTTCCTTTAGAATTTTATTAGACATGACATTAAGATTAATGTTACAATTTTCTATAATATCTGCCAACAATTAATTTACAAACTTCAATATATGTTATTTGTTAAGGTTGGTGGTCTTTGATTTACGAGACCTCAAAACAAAATAAATCGCTAGAAACTGTAACTTCTATTAATAAACTTCTACCATATAGTACCCAGACATGTTAGCTTTCGTTAGAAACGATTCTCTACTTACAGGATGTTGAACAACCTCGTCCCATTCAGTAGTTTGACGTGAACTACTTTGTCTTCCTTATTGAGATAGACAGGGACAAAGTACGTTGTATTTTAACTAATGAAAAAGAAAATTTAAGTGGAATCGATCCTTGATAAGAAAAACTTCCGGTTGATTGTGGCCAAGTTTCAAAGAGCGTCAAAAATCAGAACAAGATAAATTTGAGGAAAACAGACCAATTGTAAACAAATCACACAAAACAAAACGAGATAAATTTAGGTAAAACACACCAAATGTAAACAAATCACGTAAAACAATTAACCGACAAGCAGCAAAGAATTTGATAAGGAAATATAATCAACCCTCTTCAGACGCCAACTAATTCTACAATATGTACCTAGAAATTGTTTTTTAAGTGTTTTTGGAAGAACAATTGGTAAATGATAAAATTTAAAACAGCCTATGGGCAGTCCGTGGACGTCTGATTAACAAATGTCAAGTTTCAGGAGGTCGCAAAAACAGTACGAATTTTTGCAAGTAAATTTTGCCTATTAATAATAATTTCGATTTCACCTTATTGTATAATAATTAAAAGAATACCAAACTAAATACATTGTTCTAAATATATTGTCGTCGTTTACATTGTTTCAAGCCTAATAAGTGAAAAACAAATGTTTATAAACAGAATGAGAGTAATGTAAGATAATCAACATAAATATAAGTAGAAAATCTTGTAAGTTAGGTAACATTTAATTGATTGCAGTGAATTTTCAAGGAGCGTCGAAACAGGAAAAACTCCAGACCAAATGGATAAAATCTCGAAATCGCCATTGGCCTAACAAAAACAAACAAAAGGACTCAAGATCATGGAAGTGAAATACAACCAATTTGCCAAAAAAAAAAAAAATAAAATAAAATCATAGAACCAAAAAAAAATTGTTTAATAAAAACGTCCTGGCAGAATTTGGGCACACCTTAGAATTGCATCCTTTTTTTATGATTTTTAAAAATAACATTGCGTAACAAAAACGAAACTAGTTTGACCTTGTAAGTTCAAAACTACATGTTGGAAAACATAATAAATATACACACTACTAATTCTACTGACCTCAAGGTACATAGACAATAAGTTGAAAAAATAGTCACCTCTAATTTACAGGATGCTGCTCTACTAAATTTTAAGTCGTATTAATTAATTTTAATCTGGTACCAGCGTTCCAGAAGAAATAGGGTACAACCTAGAATTTTATCCTTGTTGAGTTTTTCGTTGAAGCATGTCCGTTTGATTTGTGCAGAAATCGTGTCATCGTTTCAACGTGCAATTCACCCTAATTCAGACTTGCCAACCAATAATTTTTCGAAGAAAAGAACTTTTTCTTTGATACTAAGTTACGTGCAATTCACCCTAATTCAGACTTGCCAACCAATAATTTTTCGAAGAAAAGAACTTTTTCTTTGATACAATTTTTTTTTTTTTTTTGTATTTCTCTGATACTAAGTTTTTTGTACCATAGTTTGACCTTGTTTAAAATTGCAAGGTTATAAAACTAAATAAATCTAATACAAACTATCTACTATACTAATAATAATCTACTGATAATCTACTACAACTCAGCCAAGTTAGATTTCGTTTCTCGACTTCACAGGATGTTGTTCTTCGAACTTTTACGTTGTAATTAATTCCAAGTTCAGCAGAAGTAGGGTATAACCTAGATTTTATCCTTGTTGAGATTTTTCCCCCAAGGATGTCGTTTTGATGTACGAAAATCGAAAATGAATATCATCAAGAATTACAATATTGTTTTTTTCTTTTAGTCTGTATTCTACCTTGAGTCTGGAAAATTTTGATTGACTCTTGTTAAGTTTCAACAAACTTCAAAAACCATTAAAGTCAAAACAAACAAAAAACTAATCATTGGATAAAATCACGAAAACCGTCGTAAATAGACAACAGCAACGAAATTTAGATTTCTCAAATAAATCTCTTTTCGAACATGCCAACGTTTTTAAAAAACCTAGAACAAATTTCTTTGCATTTAAATATTTTTACGTAATAAAAATATAATTCGCTTGACCTTGTTTTCTAAAGATTGCAAGATCTAGACTAACTACTAAATTAACTACTAAATAAATCAACACAATTTCTGCTGATAAATGTGTGATTGAAAGTGCCCAGAAATGTTAGCTTTGGTTTGAAACGAGGGTACGCTATTTTCCTAATTTTTTAGAGAAAATTTAGGATGTTGCTATGCAATTTTTTATGTCGTATTCATAAGTTTCAAATTGCAAAGTAACACCGGACATCCTAGAGTTTCATTTCAGCTGAGAATTGCTCGTGTTTCGAGTCTACGATTTCAACCGGTATCAGAAAAATTAACACAAATTGTTCAATTCTACTGATAAATGTGTGACTAAAAGTGCCCAGACATGTTGGCTTTGGTTAGAAACGAGGGTAGGCTTTAAGAACAGCCTGCAAGGGGGAGAATTTACAGGATGTTGCTATACAATTTTTTATGTCGTATTCGTTAGTTTCAAACTGAAAGTCGAACCGGCGTTCCAGACGAAATAGGGTACATCGTATAGTTCCATTGCAGATGAGAATTGCTGATGATAAATGTATGAGACTGAAAGTTTAGGGTTTTTTTTTGTTTTTTTCCGACAGGCCTTCATCCACTATGAGTCATTTAGGCCGGCGTCTTGATAGAAGAAAGTTGGTGTTGCTGTCGAATTGTTGAACATGAGAAGGCAAGGAAGAGCCAGTCAAGGAACATTAATGAGTTTCAATGAGGAGACTTTAAAGGGATGTCGCTACATTAACTTACTTCGTATTTATTAGTTATAAAAATAATACCGGTTGTCTTGCAGAAATAGGATACATCCTGGAGTTTCGTCGTAGTGTTTTTTCTCTCCAAAGGTTATCCATATGAAGCGAAAATCGAGTCGACGATAACAACCGGTATCATTAAAATAAAAACATGCACAGCAATCAAATAATACAAGTTCAATGATACATTAAATCAAAAGGGGGTGGCACTTCAAGAGACTGTCATGCTTCATTCTATATATTATCCCAATTTGCAAGCAGGAGAAATTAGTTTATCACAAATCGGATGCTTCAGACAATTTATGCAACTGGCATTCAAATTTTTTGTTTACTTACGTCTTCATATTTACTGTTAGTACCTGTGACACAAACACAATGGTATTTAACGAACGGATAGAAAACATGTTTTTTTTTACACAGAAATAAAGTAAAGGACGTACGTCCGTGGTGCATTACGCCAAAAAAAAACAACGGTAGGGTAAAAACATTGGTAAGGGAAAAAGAAATCGTTTAAACCGTAGAACACAAATCACTCCTAGGTTATTGAAATAGTAAATGAGGTAACTTACAGTTATCGCAGGCAGACAGGAAAGAATCTTGATATTGTCGGGCAGATGAATTGGAAGGAGCGGTCGTGGGGCAGGAGGATCCACTGGGCCACATTGGATGAAACCCAACATGAACTTTCCGAGGAGAAGAGCGCAGTTGGACTGAAGGCGGTGCAAGAATGGTGGGGAGCCAATGGGCAACTGTGGAAAAGTGGCGTGATCCTCGATGACGTCGCACCCTCACTACAGAAATCGATCAATGAACAGTGAAGACAGTACACACTACACACTACACACCGACTCTGGTCGCAGACGGCCACGAGGCAAAATTCAAAACTATTTCACTGGAGACGATCCTTCTTCTATTTCTTTTCTCTTCCTCAGCCTCGTTTTTATTTCTCTTCCCTTGGATTTTTATTCACACTCAAAAATTTACACACCGTCAAAAGAACAATTCAATTTTTTTTTTATCTTTCCTATATCTAAACGTATGGTCGCACTGACACATTACAAGGACCTGTGACAGTCTGAGGATTTTAATTTTATATCATATTTTTACCGTTGCTTTTAAACTTTAAAAGACCCCTATTGCTAATATGAATTGAAAACTGTCAAACTGCCCTGCCTTGGGGGGAAAATGTTTAAAAAGGTATATTTCGTTTTAACATATAAAGTTTAAACCACATGTTGGAAAATGTTTAAATCACATTAGTTTTCAAAATACAAACATATCTGTTGTAAATAAGAATTCCCCTTTCTCCCAAGACAATTTAATCAACAATGAAAATAAAAACTTCTCGGCGATATAATTTATTCAGAAAAAATTTACATGACAATTGATTCAACGCATTCAAATATTTCCGTACATCATATGTGGTTGGAATGCCATAATGATGACTTTAGGCTGAATAAACTATCAAAAATGGCATTCAAAATATCATTTTAAAAAATTAATATGGGAATGATTTGAGTTGGGGTGAGTATGGCAATTCAATTTTTGGAAAAGATAGTTCTACTCACAGAGGTTTTAGGTAGCTATCTGGAATTATAATAATAAATACTCATCAGGCAGAAGATACAAACACTGTACACAATATTAATAACAAAAAAAAATTAAATATTCACCACACATTGATATAGTTTTATTTAATTGGGATTTTACACACACAAAATTTCCACGAATTTACAATTGTAACTTTTTATCTTCAATCCTTCGGTTGTTTTATTATTGCCAAGCCCACTTTTCTCTCATATAGATACAAACATTAGTAATGTGTTATACAATTTTATTTTGGTGGTACATTAGACAAAAATTAAACAATTGATTTATTGCATACGCAGCGAACAAAATATTTACATAATAGGGCAAATTTTTAAACTTTAAAGATGGGTTTAGGCTAATTAAACTTACAAAACCACCATTGGAAATAACAATAAAAAATTTATTATTTAAATATACACTCAAATAAAAAAAAACTGGACAGACATATTTTGTAGTTTATTCCTCACTATATGTATGTATTTTTATTGTTATATTAATTATAGCATACTTATTTTTTACCAAATTAAAAAGATCAGTTATTCATGAGTTTTTAATTATGATGGTTTGATAAAAAAAAGTCTCCAAAGTTCTGGAAAAATATTTAGAGATAGAATAATTTGTTAAATTTTAATCTTTCACTAAATGATTTTCTTTCATACCATCATAATTAAATATTTATTAACGGTCACTAATCTCTACACATAATTAAATATATTTGTATAAAAACTCATGAATTTCTATATTGCATGAGGATAATATTAGGTTTTTATTGCTGAAGTGAAAGAAAGCTTTTGAATGGTCAGATTACCTATATAGCAGAAATCTAGTGCATCTATGAACCAAGAACAGTAAAAGAAGTTAGTAGGTTTAAAACACAAGAATGGAAAAAAAAACTTTACACAATTAAATTTTTAGCCTCATTAAATTTGAACTTTCAACTAAATTATCAAAGGCAATTTAATCGCTAGTTGAACATAGTCTGACCCAAATATTTATAATAATTATTTTATTAAACCGTAGCATTGATAAAATCACTTTCATTCACTCTGATTATCAAAATCCAAAGATATAAAACAGTTTTTGTCTTTCTATATTTCTTGGGTTTCTTTTCAGGAACTAGGCAACCATCAAACCGGAAAAGAAGAGTTTTTGTCTAGTTTATTTACAACGAAAAATATACATGTATTACATAAAATTTATAAATTAAATTTAGATCGTGATCTGTATAAAATTTATTATTTTTAACTGTTACTGTCTGTCTGCACTAGAATAATTTGATAATTTAATATATTTTAAAATATATTTTTTTAAATTTCATATATCGTATCAAGCTTTAGTTGATTTATTTTTGTATTTAGAGTTTTTGAAAAGTCGCAGGAAATTAGAAGAACTGAATCTAAAATAATATTATAATTATATAAATAATCTAAGTCTAAATATCATTCTTATCCATTTTTTATTTACATACATGCCTACATTTACATAGTTTTAGGAAGATTTACTATTATGTTCTTTTTTTATAAACTGTTCTAACCATAATTACAGGTGATAGCACTTCAGTTGTATGTTAGTACATTTAAAGACAGTAATTTTTGAAAGAAATGTGTGTGAGAAATACAAAATAGAATAACTAAGTAATATGCAAATTAATAAAATAACATTATTATTGAAATATTAAAACAATTATTCATTTCTCTAAAAAGTTTTGTCAACCAGGGATTCCATTGTTTTGCCGATAAATCCTCAAATAAAAACTTGAATTAAGAAGTATAGTAACAAAAATATGTTTCAAGATAACTGGTGAATGGTCTATTTGTTGATCAAATGTATCATCTAATTTGAAATACATAATGTCATTATTTTATATTAAACTCTATTGATGTAATTGACTATGTGCATTTAGTATTAACAGTTAATTTTGTATTCTGAAAGCAAAATGCAGTTATGGAAAAAATACCAACTATTATTATTATTATTGTGTGTGTGTACAAACACAAACACTGAAAAAACATTAGGGTAGAGAACAAAATAAAAATAGCTTTATCAAAATTTATCGCATTTGATTTGCTTATTAGATGTATAGGTCAAATTGTGTCTGACACAAGACCTTTACATTACGGACAAAAAATGGTTAATTTTGATCAAACAAGTGTCGACAGTTCATGGTCTAACGTAATGTAAGATAAATGCGTTGTCACTTATCACTCAAAAGTAAGACTAATAAAATAATAAATGCATTAATTATAAAGCCTTTTTCTGATTTCAAATTTATTCAAAATTTGATTGATATATTTGTGGCTATATCTATTAGAAGGTTTTCTAACTTAAGAGTTTTACTGTAACGTTTAATACCATATTATCAATTATACTTCAGATACCATATATCTAAAATTTACTACAAAGCTCTAAATATACTATGGTTTTTAATTCACTGTACTAAATCTTTTTAAAATATTGAAACTACTCTATACCTCTTTTGTTTATCCAATAGTTGAATTTTTCATTGTCTAGTCTCCTCACTACTCTTGTCAAATCAACAGTATCAAAACTGTTTAACACTGCTTTCTTAGGAACTGCAACTGGTTTTTGAACCACAATTTTGATTGCAACTAAGATTTCATTATGTCTGTTCTGAACATTGATATTCTAGAGGCAGAAAGAAATACGTTTGATTGTGTTTTTCTACAAATCATTCAATAACTTGATCTCAAGTCCTGAACTACTTTTCTATATAAGTTTCAATTTACCTAAATACAAAACTCATCATTTATCATTATTCAATGCTCCACTTTTTATTTAATGATAGTTTTACATATTTTAAAAAAGAGTTAAAAAATTAGTTGTTAAAATGTGTAAAACATTTTTAAAAAATGTTTCTTATGCGATCAACCAGCTATCACTACGATGTTGATCAGGATTCGGGTTGTGATCTTCAAAATATACAATGGTGTTATATCAATGTCCAAGCTTTCGACAAATTTTATTGTCTTCTTCAGGGTTTCTACAGAGACATAGGAACATAGTTAAGTAGGTAGTTATAAATTATTTTGGCAATTTGTTGCTACTTACAGATACAAAGTCACAACTTAAACATGTTATAATTTTTAAAAAGTTCTATAATTTTGTAAATTAATTTGCTCCATTTATATATTTTATGTATTATTATGTATGTATATATATTTTTTATTTTTATATTTTAATTATTTTGTATATAATTTTATAGTTTATCTATGGAAATTAGGCTACATGTAATTATACATAAATAAATATATTTACATGTAAATAAATCAATAAATAAATACGCAATAATTATAATGTGTGGTGTTTAGTGACTGTTAGTTATTGATTATTTGGAGATCATGAGATGCGGTCTGGTGTGACATAGGTTTTAGAAAAACATTTTCTTTATCATGCCAACGTTTCGATCTTTATTGAGATCATCTTAGGGCTCAAAGTTTTCTGTGTAGATGTGTCATTATTGCGTGATTGACACTCTAATCAATAAGAAAATATTATTAATGTGAGAATGACATGGATTGTAATCAACACTTTGTTCAATTCAAAATATTCTTTAGCAGTAGACATAGTCACAAAAACTTAGAGACTTTGTTTTATTGTTTTAAATGTTTATCGATCTGCAGCAAGTTAAGTTTACGTGATGGGATCTTCTTGAATGGTCATTTGGAGCAAAACAACTTTTTGAGCTGTGCTGAGCTTTTTGTGGTGGTGGTGGAATAAACCACTGACAGCTCGACACAGCCCAATTTTTTTTTTGCTCCATATGACCTCTGAAGAAGATCCCATCACCCAAACTTAGACTTTGTTTTACTTTAACAAACAACAAAGTTCAATATTAATGTTACAAAGTACAATGTTACAACTTTAACATTTAAAGTACAATATTAATCACTCTGATCAATAAAGCAATGTAAGAAATCGCATATGGTGTGCATTTAAATGTAAACTGTTCAATGAAGATGCTAATCATTCTTATTTCAACAATTTATGGGTGGTTATGGACATTAATCGGTGGGACTCACAGACTATGATCCAATTTCATTCCAAATGTTTTCTTGTGCCAAATATTGAATAAAAGTGCGTTGATAAATCAGAAATTGAATTGAGAATTTATTTTTATGCATTGAATTTGTTTGGACGTTCATTGAGCTGCCATCTGGGCGCTGTAAGCGTTGTTAAGTTTGTGATCAGCAGTCTTGAGCCTTGACGTTATCCTATCAACTGTAACAGTGTAACCTGTAGCCTTTGTTACTTTCTGTCATACTGATAAAAGATTAGATCACATTAATAAAGTAAGGCTGAATAAACTCGTGTGATATTTCATTTCACGATGTCTTTATCAAGTAGTTCATATTTTTTCATTTCGATGCGAAATGTATTTCTTGTTAATTACTTAAGGATTGATTAATTTAAAATCTGTGAAAATGGGCGATTATCAAAGACTGCTCACTGATGCAGACGCCGATGTTCAACATAATACCCTGGACAACAGTAGACAGAACGTATATTATGTGAAACCATTGTACAATTGTCACAAAATCACTTTCGCTTCTTCAATTTTATTTTTTATACTTGTCTTTTTATTTATATGGGTTGTACCATGTAACGTTTACCCTTGTGTGAAGAAGGATACGGACATAACTTGGGATAAAACACTTAACGGATTAGGTAAATAGTATAAACACTCGATATTGACTTATTAAAAAAAAAAATTAATTTGTTTTAGAGTTGAAGGGAAGGATGCATCTAGTCGGTGGAAATCTTATTGCTATACTTAGAGGTGCCAAGTGGGGTAAGACTCAGGGTAATAGGTTTCCCCCGCCGCAAGGAGGTGGTGTTATCGCTCTTTTAGGCAAAACTGGTGAAGAGTTATATTGGCTCCCACTCACTGCATTACCACGTTATATCGACTGTTCGGTGCTAGATCTTGTAGTGAATGGTGTTAAAGCTTGCCTTGTAGTCGGAGAAGGAGGCTACATCGCTGCTTTAAATCCAATAACAGGTAATGGTAATGTTTATTTTAACCCAAGTGGACTAAAAGTGTGATTTATATGTATTGATTAGGTCTAGTAGAATGGAAAGTAGTTGCCAACAAAAAGGATCATCTTCCTCAGCCTCATGATGTAGATGTACCACTTCTTATACCCGACATCGACGGTGACGGTTTAAGAGACCTTGTCACTTTGTCAAGATACACCAGTGGGCATCACCGATTGATTTTCATATCTGCTAAAACTGGGAATGTTATTAAACATCCCTCACTCAAACCCGAATGCAGTCTAGTCAGCGATTTGACTTACGATTTTAGAAGTTCAACACTTTTTTATACATGTTCTAATAAAATAAGTAAGGCATAATATTTTTTTAACTAAAAATAATTATAATAATAATACATATATGTTTAATTTCAGCTTCTAAAATTGAGTCTTACAAGTTGTCTGATATAAAATCAACATATTTGAATTCTCTGGGACAAGTTTTGATTCCAGATGAAGAAAGAAAGAGGTTCGAGGAGAGAAATAATTTTGCGGGTGAGCACAAGGTCATCGTTAGCAACAACGGAACATGTCCCCATGATTGTTATGTTTCTGTAAATGTAACTGACAGCAACAACAAAACCATTTGGTATTACCACAGTGACAGGACTTATATTATGTATCCGGTTCCTCTCCATTTCAAACATTCTATCACTGGCTTTCTCCTCAAGCTATGGAAATGGAACACACCATCTGAAGTATGTATATTTATATTACATTAACAATTGAACTTATTTTTCCATGTTAGATTAGTAGTTTTTTGATATCATCTTAACATTCGCACTGCCATTGGGGTCTTTCAAGACCCAGAGAATTTTTTTTTTTTTAGTTCTATTTATTTATTTTGACTACTCTTCAATGTATTATGCCACTATTAGCACTTTCCTGAGTAAAGTAATTTTCTCTGAAATTTTTGAACAATTTTTGAAAATATACCTGGGTCTATTTAGACTTGATGAACACTGTCCACGTCATAATTTTTTTTCAATAGAATTTTTTTTTTGGTTGTTTTCAAGTATAATTGTTCATAAATGTCACTTTACATCACACATATATTTTTTTTAAATCTGGTGTACTTTTTTTGTAACTCCATCATTAAAGGTTAAATATCAGTACAGCCTTTAGTTACTACTGATTTTAGAAATTTAATCAGTGGGAACTAAATGTTTCATTCATATTTCAACCTTTGACATAGTCAAATTGGAAAAAGGTTTTGCTAATAATTGTACGCACATGCAGTTCACTTACTCTTTACCCACAATAATACTTTTCTTTAATTTGTCCTTTCATACTTCAGTGACACTCACACTGCCTGACTACAGACTCCCTAAAATTACAGCAGTTGAATTACTTAATGCTAAATTATCCAGGTTTAGGGTGCTCAATTCACTAGCTCATGAACTTAATATTAACTTTGTGTTCTCTTTTAACAACCATGAAGAATGGTTCTCTAAATTCTTGACTTTTGAGTCAACCATTCGTTCTAAGCATTTTGAACACTGTACTGAACTGGCTTAGATCCAACTGATTTCTGTTCTGCAAAGAACTGGATCATTCAAAACTTAACCAATAATAGTTTAAAGTTGTCTTCTATCAATTTAAGTTAATTCTTCAAACTTAGGTTCGAATTTATCTACCTTAATTATTCCTCTCTGAGAGAGGATTCTGTTGAGCACTGCCCACTTTGTATCTCCTGCGCAAGGGAAGACCTGTTCCATTTTTTGGGTTCGTGTCTCATCCTTTCAAAGTTTTGAGTTCTCTTTTTAGGAACTATTAGAGTTTAAGGAACATGTTAGATCGGAAAACTTAATTCCATGGATTGTTAAAATCTGGTTGATTTTGGAAAGAGTGCACTGGATTACCACGGAGAGCTTGTGAAGCAGTTGAATCTTTAATTTTATATTGAGAAGTGCCAATAGTTTGAATGATAATTTAATTTTGTTTACTTAATTTTTTTTATTATTTTTGTATGTATATAATACGTTCTATTCAAGTGAATCTCAGCTAGCCTCCAGTAGATGGTTTAATAATCAATGCTGTACTGTTTTTGTTTCAATTTGTGTTATCATTCCTTAGGAAAATGAATTTTATTTTTGTAAATAAAGTTCTTTTTACATTCATTCAATACACACATTTAAGAACTTTTTCAATTTGATTTTCAATATTATTTCATATAGTTATTTCACCATAATAATACAAATGAATATTTATTAATTAAAGAAGCAGCATAGTTCATATGATGGGGTAACAGTTGAACTTATAAAGGAGAGAATTGTTTTAATAACATTCAATAAATCAGGAATCATGCATGTTGTCAATGCCAGTCAGATTGATATTATTCAATTATGTTACGACAATGAATGTCAGCCTCATCTGTCGTTCCAGACGCAATCAGGTAACAATCCGAATTTATCTTAACAAAATGTCATAAATTACAAAAATTAATAATTATATCTTTTTAAGCCCTCATCGCCGATTTAAGTGGGGATGGAACTCAGGATCTTGTTTCATATTTTGTTACTTATAAACCCTCGACTGAAGATCCTCTTTCTGCTGTGAATGAGGATTCCATCAAAGACTGGGTGCTGGAAAGCAGGGTGAAAGTTGTCAGATTAGAAGCTGAACTACCAAAGCTTTACGAAGCTGTTTCTACATATTAAACATTAGTTATTTAAAGTATCCCAAAAAAAATTACCTTGCATTAGCATTGTGCATTAATTTTTAGATGTAGTAGCCTTTATTTTTTACGTTTGGGTGTATAAATATACTAACTTTTATTATCGTTTATGACACTGATCTTATCAGGGTAGAGTATCTTACTGTTAACTGAAAATATTATTACTTAAATAATTTTGTGATTTGACTTCCAGTTATGTATGTACAATGTATATTTTTTAATTTGAGAAATTCAGTGGTCAAGATTTTGGTAAAACCTCTTTAGAAGGTATAAGCTGTTGCAGTTTCATGTTATTTTTTATATTTATTTTAAATTATATTATTATTACATGTACTTTGTCTACTATACAAAACAATAACCAGTATTATTTAATATTTTTCTAGTCAGATTGTGATTTTTTTGTTTGGTTTTAAGGATCCTAATATTATAATAGAAAAGTGACTAAAACAATTCTTAGTTAACATGCATTAATTCAATAAAAACATTCTAAATTGATCATTGTTTCTTTATGTATAAACTGCAATCATTAACGAGGAAGTATTTTATTGACTTACTTGGGATCAAATTTAATAGTACATTAGAAACAATAATTATAAGGTGTAGAATAAATAAGTTTATCAGAGAACATTTATTTTAAAAAATTAGCTTTACCGTTTTGCTATTTGAGTCATTTTTATGTATTGAATGTGTCTAACTTTTGAAAATTGTTTTGTTTGATGTTCCTTTATCTTGTATACCTTATTGTTATTTCTTGTTAATATTGTTATTAACTGTAAAACTTTAAGCTTATTGTTTAAAATTGAATACAGTTGACATTTGTTTAATTGGGTTTTGTCCTCAAAAAAAGAGCTTTGTATCCAGATTATTTAACGATAATTAAAAAAAGTTTCATGTAAAAATTTCAAAAACAATAAAATATTTTTTACTTAATCAGTCTTTTTTTATTTAAAACATTTCAGATAGGTGTAATTCAGGTTGTTATTGTCATTTGAAAAAAGGAAAGATGTCCTGGTGATATTTAAAATCAAATTTTGTATAAATAAAAAGGGCAGAGCACTCAATAATAGTTTAAAATCTATGGTTTAAAAAAAAATTTAAATTAAAAATTAAATAATTGAAAATACAACATACCCAACAATACAGAAAAATATCAATGTTTAAGGGATATAATAATGAATGTATGAATACTATTTGTTTATCAAAGGCGCTCAAGATTATTTATAAATATGAACTAGTGTAATTGCTATAGCATCTGACATTTGTTCCGATGGTGTTCTGAGTTCAAAATTCATCATATTCATCAGCACCTTGTATGTAATTGTTTTTTGTTTAAATTATTAGATGTATCGGCCACTTTTTTACCTCTGAATAATATATATCTTTGTATGGTCTGGAAGAAAAACAAATTCAATTGTTCTGTCAAGCTTTCGACCTATTTTAAGGTCATCAGCCAAGATGTTGCAGTCTTTGTCAATGTTGGGACTGAATCTATCTTCAAGAAAGACAAGAAAGAAATTGGAAACTACAAACTCATTTTGAAGAAATCTTTCAGATTGTTTGCCCTGATGACAACCATAAAACAGACGGAAAGCTTGGTAGAATGAATTATTTTTTCATTCAGATCATACAAGAACCAGATTATTTATAATAGTATTTTAATAACAAAACCTGTGATCAAAATAAAGTTTGTTCTTTTCTTCTGTTCAGGGTGATGGCCATGATGTTTGCTAGTAGTTCATGTAATTTATGAGATTCATACAATCAGGACTTTTTGAAAAGATGAACCCATCAGAGTACCTATCTAAAATGTTATATACTATTTTTTTTAAATTTCCAGGTAACCAGAAAAGTGGTTTGTCATTAATTTTTTAATACATTTAGTTTTAATCAACATTTCTAATTACATAGAAAGATTGGATATTTACGTAACATAATAACAAGAGGACAATGCTTCAGTTCATTAAGAAAAGTCCACTCCAAATTATAAAATATTTTCTTTCTCATGGCTTCAAAACCCATAATTCATGCTTGTTTATTATATGAATAATAGGGCAGCCTAGGTAGTTCGTAAAATTCAGTGAATAAACAATTGGTGAGTGCAGTTCAAAAAGTTTGCATAATGAGTGGATTGAATATGAACCAGAGTCTGGTAGACCTGTATTTAATGATGATGAATTGAGGGAAGCTATGAACCTTGATTCAAGTCAAACATATCAGGAGCTTACCAGATTCAATGTAAGTGATGAAACCATTCGCTCCAATTTAATCCACTTGTGAAGATATGGAAGCTCAGCAAATGGGTTTCTTACAAATTGTCCAACAATACAATTAACAAGCTTCAGAGTCTAAACATTTACCTTTTATTGCTTTCATGGCATGTAGACATTTTTTGACTGGATTGTTACATGCGATTCTATACAGTAACACTAGGAGGTCGTGCCGTTGGCTGTCACCAAATGACTCCTTGTCCCAATCAACAAAAGGTGATGCTTTCTGTTTAGTGGAGGCCAGGTATTGTGCACTATGAACTCCTGCTGCATGGCTAGACAATCACCGCAGAAATGAACTCAAGCGAACTGCAATGGGCACTTCTTGCCCTGGCCCAGAAACAACCTGCTTTTGTGAAGAGAAAAGGTGGTGTAATTTTTCACCAGGACAACAGAAGTCCTCATAGAGTCAAAACGACAAAGGAGGTGATAATAAAGCTTGGTTGGGAATTCCTACCACAACCCTCTGCATTCTCCAGACCTGGCCTCATCTGACTTTCATTTTTTCTTAGCAAGGGCACACATGCAATCAGCGTATCGATAATCACCAACAGCCGTACAAAAGCTGAATTTAATTTTCAAATCCCAGGACCCAAAATTTTATAAGAAGGCGATAAGAAACTTTGGTGATGGAGATTAATAAAATATTCTAAACTAATTTTAATTGTGACAATCGTTAAAAAGTTTAAACTTGCACGAACCTTTCTGGTTGCCTGGTATCGTGGAGGTTTTGATTTTTTTTGTCATTTTGGTAAATTATGCTAAATTTACTTTAAAAAATCAAAAATTTACATAAGCTCAACTATTTAAATGAAAGAAGTATTTTCTGAAACATAGTTTTTTAATATTGTTTTTTTTTTTATTATACTCTTTCATTTTTTATGATTAAAATTCAATAGGGAAGTGCTCTTTAACAAAGTGTGATAATTTAATTTAAAGACAACAAAATAAACACCATTTTATTTAACTAATTAAAACTAAATAAAATTGTACATGAAATATTTGTGTGAAGAATTTATTTTTGCTATATTTCAAACATTAATCATCGAAGGTAGCAATAGAATCCTTATGCCAAGTTAATTTCATATCATTAACCAGCCAAGAGATTTTTTACCTTTTTTTCCCAATTTATTAACTACTATAATTTTTTTCCATAAAAAATTATTTAGTAGTTTGATCTAACACTACTCTAAATTCTAGATTCAGGTGCAAGAAAAATTAAAAGAGTAAAATATAAATAAAAAATTAAAATAATGCAAAACTAATATTTTATTTTCCATCTACAACACCAAAAGTATTAAAGCTGATTTCATTTTAAAAGGGTTAACAGTTACAATAACAGACATTTATATGTTAGAATTTTTACAATGACTAATTCCAACTTATTTCTGATATAGATAAATTGAAAAAGAAAGAAAGAAAGAAAATGAAAAAAAACACCAGTGGAAATATTCAACAATGGTCAGCAAATATTTGATTTGAAAATCTAGACTTATAATACTGGTGGTATAATAATGATTACATACTAACACTTAAAAAAGTATATATTATATTAAAAAATATTAAAACATTTCTTTCTTTTTAATTGTGTCGACAAGACACTGACGGCTTTAACGGTAGAGAAATTAAAATATAGCATATTCAAAAGTCTCACATGTTTCAATATATATTTACAATTTTTTTTTCTTCTTCAGGTAATAATGTTTCGATATCTTAATCCCATAAACTAAAATTACATATATTTTAAAACAAAAAATCACATGAACACTATATGAATTTATTGTTTTTTTGTTTAATTTTAATTAATGATCTTTTGTATAATGTAGTAATTTAATTTATACACTGTTTGAATATTTTTTCATAAAACAATTAGAATATATATTAATATAAATTAAAAAAAGGTAAACAAAATAAACCAACCTACGAATACCTTTTCTAACACTTAAAACTTCCCATTTTGGTTACAGACCCTGTTTTATAATTTTAAGGGTTCATTGCTATATAACTTTACACAAATAGAATATACTTTGCTTTGAAATATTTTTAAATCTACATCTGAGAAATAATTACAGTCATAAAATATTTATAAAATCGATTGCTACCCCCTTACAATATAGTTTTAATATTTAATGAAGTCTATTTAGACAAAAAAACTATCAATAAAATAATATAAAAGAATTTGCTTTCCGAGAGACTACTAATGTTATTAAAGACTATACTGACTGATTTAAATACATTTGAATTTTTTTAAAAATATATCATTGTTTTGGTTTGGTTAATAAAGAAAAATGAATTACCTAGGATAAAAATTATTAGGTAATTCAGTTGACATATTAACAATTACAATCTAACTATATAATAATGTATGATTTAAGAATAATATTAGTCAATAATAAGCTCTAAAAAAATTATAGTGAAAAATAATACATTTGTTTCACAGATCTCATAAAAATTAAAAAAACAAAAAACAATTAAGGTGGTTTTTAAATTGCCATTGACACAAATAGTGTCAGAAACCAAACAATCCTTCTTCTGCCGCTTGAACAATAATTTTGATTATTTATGGTGTTTACAATTTAATTTTTTTAAATGCTAGAAACAGTTGCAAATATATTCTCAATAAATAAAAGGAAAACACAAATCAAGTGTGTCTGTACAAGCATATTTTTGAATACAAGGCCCAAAATGATTTTTGATTGTAGTAACTCAAAATGTTCTTATAAATTGACAACACCATGTATGTGTGAACGAATCATTTTTTCCGTGTTAAAATATTATTATGGTCAAAACAAAGTTCATAATTTGATTTCAACACCGGATAAAAATGCGTCCGTGCAGATAAATTGAGCTTAGTAGTAACATTGTGTTTTTATAAAAATAGAAAATTTTGAGCAACAAGCGGCAAAACGAGGAGAGAACCATTATAGATCAACTATTATAAGCCTTCAGAATAATTATATTTTGGATATTTCTATTATTACTTATTAAGTATGAAAAAATTTAAAAAAGTACCCTCTGATAAAATAGACTACATTGTAACATTTTTTCTAGGTAGTAAATTGTATGTAGTTTAATGCATTTTTTGTTTTTCTTTAAAATCTTACATCTCTAAAAGGGAAAACTTAAACAAAGCCTGAAATACAAATCCACCACTAAAATTAATAAAAATAAAATCAAAGAGACACTAAGACATTTAAAACATTTAATCCATGCAGTGAAATCCGTTAGGCTCGCATTTTCTCTTTTCTCAGTTATCCTTGTTGCAACTTTTTATTTATTTTTTTAATTTACATTTTTGGTTTAGATCTTGGACTAAGACCTCAATAGGCAGAGGGAGGAGAGGGAAAGGAAATATTCTCCTCGTCGTACAGAAATATAGATATATGGTACTTATTTTACGTTAAGTAGGGTAAAAGAAAAAGGGAGGCAATATTCCTGTCAAGGAGATAAAGGGGTGTAAGGGAAGGGAGGTAAATATCACAAAAATCAACCCCTTGTATAACTTTTCCTTTTTGTAGGGCAAAAAGAGTTGAAAAAAAGAAAATTTGATAAATCACAGCACTTCTAAGAGTTAACAGTTCTTTTAACTTTTTTTTCTCTCTTTATTGACTCACAATTTTTATTTATTTATTTTTTATATAAAATATATAAAATGAAAACATACAAATCACTCACACTGAAAAATACAACTTTTGTTTTAATTAAATGATTTTTTTCCATTTTTTACTGTACTCTTTTAATTTTTGGGGAAGGAACTCTAGAGATCAGAAGTTAACAATAACAATCATAAAAAAGAAAAAGAAAAGAAAAAAATTACACCCGAATATAATAATAACGATATGCTAATTATTATTAGGCATCATTATTTAGTGATGATTTCTTAATTCAATAATTCATAAATTTAAAACAGTAGTCAACAACATACCCTATTAACCATATTTACAACACACAAAAAAAAAGTTGTCTGCCTCTAGGCCATCATTTCCACTATCGTTAATATTACATTCTGATGTTTACTATATTGTACTATCACATTAAAACTACATTTCAATTTTGCAGACATGTAACTAAAAAAAAGTATAAATGCCTGTAAAATCGTTAGCCTACACATTTATTATTAACTTGCGGGGAATTTTCTTAATTTGTTTTTCTTTATTATACTCAGTACTTAAAAAAAAGGTATTTTAATTTAAAAAATTGTGACATATTGCCTTGCCACCTTCGATTACCTCGAATCCTGGCTTATTTTCTGAAAATATTTACACCACTACATTGTATTAAATATTAATTCATTAATATATCTCGTGTATATGTATATATTACAAAATTGACTCTTTTTGAAATTTTCACAAACAAAATAGTTTACCTTTGTTAAATTTGAAATTTCTTTAAAACTCTATTTACAAATTGTATATTCCTGATCAAGAAGGAGAATCTCACGTTTATTTAGGATTTTATAGTGAAGTATGAGGAACAATTGAATTTTTCATCCGTTTATACTTTGACAGTTGACTTGTGCGTGTGATACCTCGCATGAGGTGGCCATTTGGACGACCGGAGCATTGTTGATGCTGGGTGCTGATGGTGAGGATGATACGGTGGCGGTGAAGGAGGTAGCCAGGGGGGCGAGATCAGGTTGTACCAGGACGAGTGGGGAGCCAACTGTTTCTGTTGGTGTTGCTGTTGTTGAATTTGTTGAGGGTATGAAGAACCGAGAGAGCGCCTTGTGGTGTTCCCTCGATTTCTCTGCCCTCCGACACCATTTGTTCCACCAGCAGACTTTCTTCGATTTGAACTATTAGGTGGTGAATTCTGAAACAGCACATATTGACAACGATGAGGATGAGGATTTCACATTTATGGTTATTGACAAAACACTAAAGTATTGGTTAACCAATTTAATAAATTTGATCAATTATTATTTAAAAAATTACAAAACTCAAAAATAATCACACCCCCTTACATAGTAAGTTTAGTTAACTGTAAAACAATGTCACAGTCTATTATGTAATTAAAAATTAATGGTATGTTTCATGATTTGTTCCACTTTCTGATTTCATATGAAATCACTGTCTGAGGAAGAAAGTGTAAGTAAACTCTGCTCAAACTGATTTTCAGAGGCATCGATTACTCTCCTAGCAAGTTTTTTTTTTACCTGAGGTGAAGAATATTTATTGGGTGTTGAATTGATAGACATTGTTTTGGCTGGTGACTCTTCGCTCAACGACTCCTCGCTGCCGCTTGTGCTTCCACAACTTTCCTTGTCACTAAAAGAGGCTAGAGTGCAGAATGATCCTTTTGTTTCTCCAAACCTGAGAATAAATAAATAATAACCACTTTAAATGTTGCATTCATGAAGGAAAAAGGAAGAAACCAAAAATAATTAATCATATTACAAAAGGCATTTGTCAAATAAAGTACCTGAATTTATTCTTAAGTATGTATATATCGTTCTGTTAACACTTAGCAGGGAACACACTTACCCGACACAACATAATGCCAACTGATATCCAATTTTCCATAAGATTGTATTACTCCTGTACACATTTGCCTGACTTGACGCAACACCATTTTCCTCTATGCTACCCGATGCAACCAAGTTCCTGTCCAGATTTTTGTCGAGTAGTCAAGTACAGTCATTTTTGATCTTGTTTAATTTGGACTACATTGAATGTCCATTGTGTTAATATATCAATAAAAATACATACAGTTTGAAATAAACAACAAAATATGTTATGTGTCTGGTTTTTGTCTTTGAGTGTGGATATATTACGCTACATATGGTAAATGGAATATATAATTTGTATTAGTTTTCCTGATCTGTTCCTTTATCAGCTCCATGCAGATAATCAAATTTATGTATTGTCATCTGAAAGTACAAAATACTGAATCGATCAGCATTTCGTTCCTTTTCTAATATAGAAATCAACGTATGATATTCGCTAGATACACCTCCAGTGATGTTCACTTCATGAATCGAAGTTTTTCTATAGCCAGCAAATTGTGCTGCTGTCATTATTACCAAGTCGTCCCCATATTCTCGAAAGAGCTATCAATTTCGCGAATACTACTGTCATAGACACTGTATTGTCTGGCGAACAGATGTGCACACCCCACCAGTATGCGGCAAGGCATTGGATGGTGTAGGGTCACATCGATTTGTGATTCCTCATTACTCACTGACAATACTCGGGGAGTAGTATTCTTATTATTGTTTTTTCGGAAAAAATTAATATTTAAACCTTGAAAAAATTCACGAAGGACGATATTTTCATGACTTAATAAAGAAATTAATTGTCAATTTTTTTTTTTTTTACTTTATCTGACGTTTTATCGCACAGATTGGCAAAGTGAACTGTAAAAGTAGATAACAATAAATTGAAACAACTAAAACAGTTTACTATAATCAGCAGCTTAAAAACTTAAGATAAAAAGTTTAAAATTAATTTGCTTTATCAAATCCATCTCCAAGAGAAGTTTCAAGATAAAGCTCCTTTTGTACTGCCGGCATAGAACAAGAAGTAATACTTACAATGCTTTTATTTGATAAAAAGAGTGCTTTGATAAAAATGAAAACTGGACAATGAATAACGTGATTAATTATTACAGATTTAAATGAATCATTAAAAACATTTCTAGATGCTACTGCATGATATTTAAAGTATTATTGTTGTTAACCACAGTTTAAAATTTATTACATTTCATTTTTAAAGGTTATATATTTTCTTGTACATCACAGTGTAAAATGGTTGGACAACCAACTAGAATGGCATAATAAAAGACATTGTAAAAATTCACCATCATCAGATGGCTTATTTATGTAAAACAAAATGAACTGTTTAGTTCTAACAGTTTATTAAGTTGGTTTGATTCAATCAGGCAGGCGGACTGAGGTCCATGCCTAATAGTTTTGCACTACATCCATATTTTGGACTTCAATGTTGGTTTATTTGGAAATAAATGCCTATTCTATTTTATTAAAACGTTAAATGATTATTATAGCCCAGTCATTACATAAGCATATAATTCAATTTTTTCTTAGAAACAAAAGCATTTTGATGATGAAAATGGATTGGTGTAGTTTTTTTGGCCAACTCATATATAAATGTGACATCAAATATTCAAAGACAATACAAACAAAATGAGTCAGAAAGAACAAACTAAGGATAAGAACATTAGTGAGGGGAGACTAAAACATTAATACAGTCTCCTTTCAATTATACACAGCCAAATTCTGTGAAAACTACGTTAACAAAATATGTTGAATAATTTTTTTTAAAATTATTATTATTTAAGATAAATGAACATCACTCCAAATATATACGATTTTGGCGCAAAAGTCTGTTTACAAACAATTTGTCGGGAAAATTCTTTTGAGAATTTTCAGGAAGTGAAATGGTTAAAAGAAAAACTGTTATCACGAATGCGTCATTTGTTATCACCTGTGTTTGGAGAATGGTAAGCAAACAAAATATGTACACCAATTAATAACTTGCGACCAAAGATAAATAGGAAGAAGATAAGTACAAAAATATGGCAAATAATCTATTCCTCAAAAAGACATAAAGTGTGAAATTAATAGGGAAAGCGAGGGGAGATGGAGGGAGAGTATTGACCAATATTAAATTTAGTATTGTTGCCTGTTGGAGAAATCGTATTTTTGACGGAAATCAGTCCAGTACCAAATCTAAAAGTGCAGAAATACTGCAACGCCGTGCAGTTTCCGCATCCTCATTAAAATTAAAAATAATTAGCATACAAATTACATTCCTTTACGCAATTTTTTGTCTAATTATTCGAAATAAAATCACCGAAGAAAAATAACGCTTACAAGTTCGAAAACAAAAGACGCTGGTTTGCTTAGGTTAAATACAATTTAATTTTTTTTTTTTAACAAATAAAGTGACATCACGAACAAAGTAAATGTTCCAAAGGGTTACCTCGCGTGTTTATGCTGCACAAGAGACCTCAGATAGCTTGCCGTTAGGACTGTTTTAAAACTTTCACTTCTGACTCCGATCCAAAACGCAACAAGAACTAACGAATATAAAGAAATAGGGCACCACCTTGAGCAATTTTGACTGTTCTCGTCGTTTCGAAATCTACCAATCATTAGGAATGGAAAATTTCAAACAATGGTCTCTTTTGAACTGCTTTTTTTGCCAGTTTCTAATAGAAACATACTTTTTTTTTTTACAAGATAACGGAAACTGTTAAAAAAAAAAAAAATCGTCCGCGGAAGCCATTACTTGGGACTTCCTATATCCCCTAATCTTGACCTTGCTTTCAAGGAAGAGTAAGTATTGAATTCTGTATTATTACATTTACTAAACTCAAATACGACATATTTATGAATTTGCATTAATAATTTTATTAAAGGAATCGATCTGAGAAAAAGAAACCGAATGTAAATCATTTGATTTAAGCATACACCCTAATATTTCCAGCAATATAACACTTTACTAAAAGAATTGACAAATTTACACAGATTATAAATTTCCAAATATTAATTATAATTTCATTTATTCACTTGATTTTGTGTGTGCATGTAAAAGCGTGAAATGGTATGACAAATAAAATAAAAGATATATCAAGAAAATAGCACTACTACAGAGTAGTTAATAAAAATATTTCCCACTCTATTTATACAATATCACTTCGAAGATATTCAGTTTTATTAAAAACCGAAGTGGAAATGAATTTTTAAAACCACACGGCCCTTACTTTGAAGGAGAAGACAGAAGGTTGAGAAGTCATCGCTGAGTCCTTCGAATGGTAATTTTATCAAGTAGACTTCAAGGCACGAATCGACTACCTTCTTCCGTAATCATCAGTACCCCCCACGTTTCAAAAACAATATATCCATTGTATGTCTTCTGGAGTCATAGCGACATGTTATGAATCCGCAAGAATGTGCAATAATTCCTATTATTCCAATGCTTAGACTTCAATAAATTTCCAAATAGTACGCTCCTTCTCTTACTTCATATTTACCATCCTCTCACTCACTCACTCACTCTCTCTCTCTCTCTCTCTCTCTCTCTCTCTCTCTCTCTCTCTCTCTCTGCTTACGCTCACTGCTGCGAAAATTAGCAATAATGCCCTACTATTGTAATGCTTAGATTGCAATTATCTCTCTAAACAGTACTCTCTAGTAGTAGTAGTACATTATCTCTACTCACACAACACAGACACACTTTATTGTTTTATTGAAAACTCATTTATTAAATGTAAATGAATGGAAGTGTTTGAAAATTCATTGCTACATGTTTTAAATCCTAGTTTAAACCGTCAGAGATACTTTTATTTATATTTCTTATTATCTTTATTTATTGTATTATCTATACTTCTTTCTCTCTCTCCCCCTATCTCTCTCAAACACCCATAAGCACGTACGTACAAGCAAACATTTGATACAAAACATTGAGATTTCAATAAATTTTTTTCAAAAAGTCACGCCATAGATTATTTAAACAAATTTCCGACGATAATAGTTGTAAAGTAAAGGCACAACGACCGTCCGGCAAATTCAAAACGATATCGGAATCATTACACTCCGTTTTCTCCCTAGATTGAAATTGATTTTAACCAACAGCACAGAATGTGGTAAGAACTTAAGAAGGGATTATGCGTGACACAAAAATATCAAAATGGCGTCGGAACTTAACGGACTTCCGATCAAACAGCGAGATTAGGCGGACCTGACTCGATCGATTTTGATTGAACTCATTTGAAGGCTAACATCGATTCCTAGACCGACCTCAAATATCAACAACGTTAGTATATTCATCACTGCAAACATTCTCTTGAATTTTTTGTTCTAACATAAAATAATCTGCAATCAAATTGTACTTCACAAATGACGTGAAAACTTTAGTGAATAGAAATTATAAATGATAGGGTGAGTATAGAGTTCAATCCTTTTTAAAAAAGATGGTTCCTACTCACATTAAGTAGTATACTAAGTTAACTCAGTAATAACTTAATGTGAGTAGGAATCATCTTTTTTAAAAAGGAAAGAACTTTAGTGAATATCTGATTCTGATCGCTATCAACGCAATAAAATAAGGTTACATTGATTGTCAATTTTGGGTAAAACCTCACATCATACTTTAATTGTATGTGTTTATTTCATACAAATGTAACTAAATTGATGGATTGTTAAATTGAAGGTACTTTTCCTTGCCAGAAAAAATACTAATTATTATGCGAGCAGAAAGCTGTGCCAGATTGGCCGGAGTTCTATTTTTCTGTCCTAAGAGAGTTATACAAGACCGTTGTGAAAGTTTGGAGAAGGGAAAACTGTACTCTG